GCTCCCTCTGGTCAGGGAATCAGGGAATCCCCTCCCACATCCACCCCCTGTGCTCCCTCTGGTCAGGGAATCAGGGAATCCCCTCAAACATCCACCCCCTGTGCTCCCTCTGGTCAGGGAATCCCCTCCCACATCCACCCCATGTGCTCCCTCTGGTCGGGAAATCCCACCTTCCAGCCTTGCCTGCTGCTCCAGGGGAGGGAGGAGAGCTGGGGTGGGGAGGTCAGGCTGAGTCAGGGAAGGCTCCAGGATGGCCTGGGAGGGGAGGGATTTCTGCAGAGGAAAAGTGTGATGTTCCCAAGTGGGTTGTCTGTGTTGACATGTGCAGTGTGGGATGCAAACAACGTTAAAATTGGGCTTTTCCAGGGCCTGAAGGGGCTCCAGGAGAGCTGGAGAGGGGCTGGGACAAGGGGTGGGGGAACAGGGCAAGGGGGAATGGTTTCATGTTGACAGAGGGCAGGGTTAGATGGGGTATTGGGAAGGAATTTTTCCCTGGAGGGTGGTTGGGGGCTGGAATGGATTTCCCAGAGAAGCTGTGGCTGCCCCATCCCTGGAAGTGCCCAAGGCCAGGTTGGGGCAACCTGGGACAGTGGAAGGTGTCCCTGCCCATGGCAGGGGGTGGGACTTTAAGATGATCTTTCAGGTCCCTTCCCACCCAAACCATTGTGTGATTCCCTGATTTTTGTTAGATTTTGCCTGTGTTTGCTGAGCACCAGCTGCTCTGGAGCCCCCTGACCCCCTGGGTGTGCTGGGGGCTGCAATCCCAGCCCCTGTGGGACTCCCTGGGGTGCTTCAGGACATTTCCCTTTGGGAGCATTTGGAATGGCATTTATATTTACCTACCAGGTTATTTTCTCAGCTCCCAGGTGTACCCGTGAAGCTGCTACATTTAAACTGTGGGTGTGTTTTAAGCTCTGAGGAGTGACTTTAACTGGCCCTGCCTCTCTCCCTGCTGCAGCTGGAGCCGGGATGGGCACAAACTGGTCAGTGCCTCCACCGACAACATCGTGTCCCAGTGGGATGTGCTGTCAGGGGACTGTGACCAGAGGTTCCGCTTCCCCTCGCCCATCCTCAAGGTCCAGTACCACCCCCGGGACCAGTAAGTGCTCTGGGACAAGGGCTGGAATCCAGAATTGGTTAAATTCTGTGCAAATCCACGATTTTGGTGTGTTGGTTTGGGATTAGGAACTGCCTGGGGTTGTTTGTGGCTCTGTTTGTTGTGGAATATCAGCTCTGTTTATTATGAAAATATCAGCTCTGGTTGTTATGGAAATATCAGTTCTGTTTATTATGGAAGTATCAACTGTATTTATTATGGAAGTATCAACTGTATTTATTATGGAATTATCACTGTGTTCATTATGGAAGTATCAGGATGGCAAGAAACAAGGGAATGATTCTTGGCAATGTGTAGAAATGTCTCACAGAGTTTAGAAGTCACGGCACAGACTTGGAGGAACTTGCAGAGAAAGAAAGGAAATGAAAGTAGGCACAAGCTTAATGTCATTTTGCCTGTTGAAGTAACAAAGACAAGATAATAAAAATGCAGGGATATTCTGTAATAAAAATGGAGGGATATTCTGTAATAAAAATGCAGGGATATTCTGTAATAAAAATATTGGGATATTTTGTATTTCTTGATATAGATTGGGATTTTCTTTTTTACTTCTAAATGTGGAAATCCCTTTCCAGAGGAGGAACTACCAACTCTTCCTGGTCTGTTTTGCAGGAACAGGGTGCTGGTGTGCCCCATGAAGTCAGCCCCAGTGATGCTCACACTGTCAGACTCCAAACACGTGGTCCTGCCTGTGGATGATGACTCTGATCTCAACGTGGTGGCCTCCTTTGACAGGAGAGGGGAATACATTTACACTGGGAATGCCAAGGGCAAGGTGAGGCTCCAGCAGGGAACACATTTACAGTGGGAATGCCAAGGGCAAGGTGAGGCTCCAGCAGGGAACACATTTACAGTGGGAATGCCAAGGGCAAGGTGAGGCTTCAACAGGGAGCTTCCAATCCTTCCTGGCTTTGTCAGGATGCTGAATGTTTCTGGGTTGTTTTCTTTGTTTTAATGTCCCAGCAAAGCTCCCTGAATGTCTCTGGAATTATTGATGTGATCTGAATGAAGCACCACATTTGTCTTTGAAGATCTCTAGGTTATAAACTCCCTGACAGGAGGGGGGAGCCGGGGGGGGTCGGGCTCTGCTCCCAGGGAACAAGGGACAG